GTTGAGATGATCGATTAGAAGGTTTTCTCAATATTAAAACAACATTTCCGATAGATTTATGAGGTGCATCTATGATTCTATATTTTAAGGTTGCAACCTTATATAAACTTTTTCCTTACTTAATTTGAATCATTTTTAGAGTTTTAAATTTAATACTTAGATATGAAAATAGATTCTCAAGCCATCCTAAAAATATTTGACCCCAAAATTATGGATGTGCTTGTTAATTTGATCGTTTAAAGTTGCAACGTTATACAAATAGCACCCAGAAAAAAAAAAAAAAAAAAACAAATACGTTTTCTATACGTGGGAGTAACTGTACAATATATTTAAGTATGGGATGCATTTAGCATGCGGGCCAAGCCCGCACATGTAGAAACCCGTGCCCTTAATAAATTTGTTTTGAGATATTTTTTGGATTTAATTTTTAAGGATATGTAATCTCTAACATGGAGATCATGAATATGAAAAAAATAAATAAATATAAAAAACTATAAATAATAATTCTACTAATAAAATATTTGGACTATTAATTTCAATTGTTTTTAGATGGACCAGATGGATGCTTTATACTTCTAGGCCATATGTGTAGAAACGTTGTCCAGCTCGCATGAAACAATTTTTTTTTTTGAGTATGTGAAGAAAAAGAAGAAAAAAAAAAAGGATTTTATGGACGCATAGAAAGATGTGTAAACCCCTCCTTGTCATTCATTGAGATCCATTTTATTTTGGAAACGGAAAATATCAGGCATAACCTCACTGGTTTTTGAAGTGTGGCTTTACCAAATTTAATAATCATCTGGACCTAAGAAAACTGCACCCTTCTCGAAATAGATCAGAGTTGTATGAGGTTGGACATCATACAACAACCACCTTGGAGATGGATTGAGTACCTTGATTACTGCATCCATTTGTTCTTGTTGTGGAATTTAGAGCTCCAATGCTCCCACGAAGACTTGAGATATATAATTTATTAAAAACTGATGACCTTTTGTAGGCCTTCCCATTTTATTTTATTTATTTATTTATTATTATTATTATTATTAATTTTTTTTTTTTTCTGAGTCAGTGATGGGAGATGGGTTTTTCTTTTTACTTTTCAGCATGAATTTCAAAGTAGAGAGGTAATATGCGTTTAGGAAAACCCAAATCGCCCAATCCCTGGTTTTAAAATTTTTTTTTTTTATAATATTGTTTGGACCCACTAAACTAGTCCAAATTGCCAATCCGAACCAGTTAGAGATCCGTTTTTAATTTTTAAAATAGTTCGAGACAATGGTTTAAAAAGCGGATCGGTGACCCTCATCGGGCACCTCAAAAACCAATTCAGATCAGCGAATTGGCGATCCAGATCGGGAATAGGCTGAATCGGTCGGATT